GGAGGCGTATTCACTGAAAAAGGAAGCGTCACCGAACTCTTGTTGCGCAATAGCGCCCTCCCTTAGAATTTTTTGCCGCGAAACCGGTACAAGGTTGTTCGTCGCGGACCACACTACCATCCCGACGCCATATTTTCAACTTCTATACCTGATCGCGAACGGTGCCTCTTAAGCTACACACACCCTCCCTGACCTCCCAGTCTTTCTGCGGAGAAAAGGCAGAATTTCTGAGGAAAAAACCTGCGAAGGAGGGTAGGAATTCGGGAGCACTTGGAAAGCTGGTACGCACGATAGGGATGAGGGGGAGCGATCGTACCAAACACCAGAGGATTTCGGGGGAGGGGGAGGGTCGTTCTCTGCTACATGCTTCTTCAACAGCAGGATGTGCCGTGACCCTTGCACCCCCCCTCTCCCCCAAAATAGAGGAAACCCTTCTATTTTCTCCAGCACTACCATTTCTCCTTGATTTGAGTAATCCTGGTTCAAAAGGCGTTTCCCTACGGCTTGTCGACGCCACACAGCATATGACTGGGACCGGAAGCACGGTTGACAGCATTCGCATGGCAACAACGGGGCGGCAGCTAAAACCGTAGATAGATTTTCACCTCTCGAGGCTATCTCTTCTCACACTAGAACTAATTTCATGAAAAAAATTTATATCGCATTTATAATACATAATAATTTGTCGCAATCAAGTTGACGTGCCATTCATATCACTTAAATTCTTTTTACAAACAAACGAAATAACTTCAAAGAACGAAGACAATGAAAAAGAAAAGATCACAATGTTAGGTTATACAGATCAAGGAAACGCTTTGATCCGGGGGAGCTTCCAAAAAATACAGAAAAAAAACTTACACACACACGCATACACACACTCTAACGACCACCAGTGATATCACTATGGCGCTGGCTATGCGAACAGAGAAAGATGCACGTTGAACCGGAGAACTAGAGAATTAATTTCGAAAAATGCAATACATACACGATCATCGAGGGATAAAAGGAGAAACGCGCGTCATGTGTAGTTGGGGGGGGGAGGGGGACAGGGGGATAGCTGCTACTACTACCTATTAATAGAGTGTTATTCATGTGACAGGGAATGAAAGTACGAGTGACTGACTTTGTTTCACATATTAGACGTCGTTGTGAAAAACAACGAATGGTAAATGAAATGACGAGAGAGTGAGAGAAGACCAAGAGGGGGAAAAGAACAACTACTACGACGTAATACATAAGCTGCAAATAGGTAAAATCTGTGCATAGAAGAAAATAAAACAGAAGAACTCTTCGGATACTATGCATTAGGTGCCGAGGATTGGCTTTGAGATCGATGAACAGCACTGACAAAAATCGTAAACGAATATCTGCTAGGTGAATTGAGAATAATAATATAATAATAATGACAATGATGATAATCAGATTCATATCTGGCCACGATGATAAAGGGTAACTGGTTAAGAAATCAATCCGAAAATTCGATGAATAGCAGCATTCGAATTAGAGGGGACATTTGGGCTCGATTGTAACAAAATATGAAAAAAGAGATGAGGGACGACAATTGACGAGATTATATGAACAGAGGCGCGAATCAGTGGATTTATTACCACAAAACTAGTAAGTGACGTGAGCATAAGGGGCTACTGTAATGGTCAAACACCTTGGCAAATCAAACTGCACTTGAGCATTTCGGACTTAAAGACATCATCCGGAGTTGTCGAATGCGCGGAGACAGCACACGACACCATTGGTTCTTTCACTTTCTTTCCACCCTACGCGTCACTGAATCCGCCATTGGAGTCTTCAAAAAGAGCCTTTCTCCTCCACAATGTAAACTATTTAACCGTGGAGTTACAGTACCCAAGCTTGAACAGACCGATTAGTGTAGTTCTATCCCAATATGAAAACTAACAGCTCCCAATATACCATGGTTCTGTTTATTGCGACAGACGCGCGCGGTAGCGAGGCGCGCTCGTTCAGCCAATCATTTCTAGCACGTTTCGCGACCGCTCGCGTTCGTTGCAGCAAAGACAGCCGTGCTATATTGGTGGACTGATAGTCTACATACTGGAATAGAAGCGCAATACTCGATTCCTTCCAGTTTAGGAAACTGTATTAGCGGTTACATAGTCTTAAATCGTAGCACGGGGAAGGCGTGTTTAGAAGACACCACCTGATCGCGAAGAGTGCTAGTATTGATTAGACAGACGAGAACGCTTCGCGACCGCGCGCGTCCTGCCCATCAATACAAGTCGAGCTCGCATTACATTACAGCTGTGAGTTCAGATTGATCCGTGGGTGAATGATCACTACGGTAGCGACGGCTAAGCGCCGACTGTCATAAAACAAGCTGAAAGTTGAAGAAAGGACGTAAAGAAGAGAAGCAGATTCGGCATAAAGGCAATATTTGGAGTTTTATGTCTCTTACGACGTCTTTCTAGGAGAACTAGTAGAATTTACAGCACCATCAACATCGAGAATCTAATACTTCTGACACTACTAATGCGCAGAACGTTCGCCCCCAACAGATTATTAGATGATATATCACAATTTCTAGGCACCGAATAAACGAGGAGATGTATGTTCATGACAAGAGAACGTACTAACGCCATGACACAGGAATTTTTGACGACCTTACCAACTATACATATCGAAATCCGGGAGAGATTTTCAATTTCTCATACCGAATTCGAGCACGCTGAAGGCTAAGCAGCCATCGTCATGGTGCCTGTTGCGTCGACCACGGCAGTACCGACGTATTTGGTCGTGTCATTCCTGGCAAGTTTGACATTCCACGCAGAGCCTTATCGGTAGCACATCGCAGACGTTCAGCTTCCGTATCGGAATCATCTAAACACGTCGAAATATTTCTTAAAAATACGGGGGGGGGGCAGAAGTAGTTCGAAGGTGGCACATGCGGTGCGACTATGCCACGTCTATCCTGTTCAGCCACCCGATCTTGTTCAGTGAAAAGGCGTAGAAAAGTTAACATGACCTGAACGGAACGGTTGCTTGTCCCCTTGCACCCCCTTCCTCGGCCCAACATAAGTACGACAGAAAAGGGAAGAACAAGAGCACTCACCAGAAAACTCGACAGCCAGCGGCTCCGACGGCACAGCTGATCCTTGCGCAGAAGCGATTACAGGTGGGGGTTGAGTGTTCCCTATTGATGGCGCATTTGACGGTTGTGCAGCTGATGGACTTGAGGCGGATTCTCCATCCGTGGGTGCTATTACCACTGCAGGCGCTTCAGGACCTATACGAATCTTCAAACGGGGCACCTTCACTGAGTCGGTCTGAAATGAGTACAGGTTGGTGAATTTCATAAAAACGAGTTTCGAAGCCCAGATATTCTAAAGGCAAAGCCCGCAATTATTCGCGATGACAGTTAGTGGATTAGGGGTTTGCATATACACGACAAGATTCTGAGTTACTCGATAGAGGAGAAAAAAAAGCGAAAAAAAAACATGCCAACAACCCTAGATAGAACCCCATTTCGATCCCATTTTGCACGTGCTCAATTAACTCTATCTTCAAAACTACACCCTCATCCGCACAGCTGCTTCCTCGATAAAAACTCTACGACTATACAAGAGACGATTTTCATGCATTTTCTTCCTGCAGTCACGTCGTTTTTCACTCAAACGCAAGCCTTGTAGGCTGAGTTCAGAGGCAGAGTCACTTAAGAAAAGGAGGCGTCACTGAACTTATATTGCGCTATAGCGCCCCTCCCTTACAATTTTTTTTGCCGCAATACCGGTGCAGGGTTGTTCGCCGCGGACCACACCACCCTCCCAACGCCATATTTTCAACTTCAATACCTGTTCGCAGACCATGCCTTCATGGTCTTATGCACCACACTTGTAAACTCTTGCGGTACAACAAAGTTGTGTGAATGAGCCACTCTGATCACAGGAGTTTGAAGGATTTCACTAGGTGGCATTGTAAGAACTTCGCTGAGATCCATTTTTGCGCCCACCAGGCTGAAGTGTGCGTGTAAGGATTCGTTCGTACTTTGTGGCAGCGTCAGCGAGTAGGAAGGTATAGAAATCGATTTAGCGTCTGCCAGTGTCCTTTAGCGACTACCAGCGTTCGGAAGAAGAGAGTATGGCGCGATAGGAGGGTACCAGCTGTCTGCTACCCTCCAATTGCGCCACACTCTCCTCTCCCGGGCGCTGGTAGACGCTAATGGATGCTGGCAGACGCTAGATCATCTACCCTTTCCTACTCGCTAACGCTCGTTGCCAGACGCTCGTGGACGCTGCCGCAAAATAAGAACGCAGTCCTAAGTTTCCCCGAGATAATACGAAGGACAACCCACATTTTTCGCAATTTTGTACAAGAGTCCTTCAAATGCCCCTCTCCAGAAGTATAAACGCCAGATTCTGCACTTATAAAGATCCTCTAGTGATTACTACAACAATTGAAGATTAGCAAGGTGTCTGCTGATAAAATGAATTCAATCCTCTTGCAAAACTACAAAACTCTTACTGTTGTACAATCAGGGAGTATCACCAAGATAAGAGACGATTCTGCTGGATACGTCCAACCCCCCCCCCCACCCCTCTTTTTTTCCATAACCTCTTTTTGATAAGACCTCCAGCACTAGCACACCGAAAGATCTCTTTGAGTGGGTTGAGCGGGAAAAGACGAGGAGAACTACCCTTCAATAACCCAAGGCAGCGTATAATTACTGGCCGCCGACTAGGGGAGGAATATGTAGCGCTCCTGAAATGGGAAAAAGGCAATGAAAAAAATCTCAAACACGATCACCCTTCCCCTCCCCGGCATCCAAATACGTTCCCCTGCTGGGGGATTAATGTCGCGATGGGTGCAACGAAGAGCAGCATCGGTGGCAGCAAGGTCGTACGCAAGTCAAGACAAATTACTTCCCACCGATCATGTACCCCGTGTGCAGTTCCTACCAAAACGATCATCGTACCGTGGGTGCTGTTGCTTTCGAAGTAGAAGGCTGTGATTCCATCACATTCTGTTTCACCTGCATTTCTGAAGATTCGGCTGCTGATGGAGCTCGTGAGGGAGTAGCTGAACCACTTCTGCTTGTCGTCGCGACACCAAACTTCAGCTTCATTCGGACACCATTTGACGTCACAGCGACCAGTTCCTGAACAAGGTAGTATTTGTAAAAAGAGTCCAAAAATAAGTAGAGGATATCACTGAAATTCATTTGTTTCGGGGATTCCCCGTGAAACTTACCTGTGGTGACGACCCATGCTTCTCTTTCTTGTCATGCTGCTTCTTGTGCCCTTTCGAACGTAATTTCTCTTTAGGATGCTTCACTCCTCCAATGTGCTCTTTATGTCGTTCTTTCTTTTTCTTCTTGTGTTTCCTGTGTTTCTTGTCGCCATCCTTCCCGCTATTTTCATTGTTCTCTATGTATACTTCCTTCCCACTCAATTTCAACTTTAACCTTATTGGAGGAGGGTTTGCGCAGTTGGGTACCTGAAAAGGCAGCAGTTGGTTGGATAAATTTCCTGAACAAACACTACACAAACCTGAGCTTTGTCCCCTACGTGATGATTGATGCAATTGACATCTTTTCCTACAAGTCCAGGTTCCGCCACTGGCTCACGTTTAGAAACAGTAGGTTTGAGCGGTGATACAGGAGTTGGGCGTGGCACCTACAACAAAGGCTTTGTTTGTGATCATGCAATAACGAATTTGAGATAAATCGAAGTGAAAACTTGAAAAAATGACTAGTTTGGCTAAAGTCACGTTTATTTTGAGAATGTGGAGAATCCGTGGAGTGGGAAGATTAAGCGCTCCTCTGCACTTTCCACACATTTCCCTTCTCCATATTGATACCTTCTTTGCATCGCGCGCATCCTTCCCGTTCACGGATTTTCCACATTCTCAAAAAGTGAAGGCGGCCCTAGGATCTAGAAAAATAGGACTACATCAAGGCGAAGCATAAAGAGGAGTGCGACCAGAAGGGGTCGTAGTGAGGAAGAGGTGGCGGCGGACGGCGTTCATGAAGACTGTCAGAAGAGTGAAGATCGAGAAAGTCTCCTCAATACACTCTTCTTTCCTCTACTGATACGACTTCCCAACATGCGTCAAGCGGGTCGGAAAAAAAGTGGGGTGGGACCCCAGGTTGATTACCAAACCAGTAAAATGACCGCCGCACCATCGAACAAATACGACCTTTGCTTGACCCTAATAAGAAGGGTTCAGAAGATGAGGAAACCGAGCAAATCAAGGGAAAAACAGGCAGTGAAAAAGTCGTGATGTCAAGAAACCGCGTAAAGAATCAGTTTGGGGGTGGCAGAGAACTATGCAAAACTCTTTCAACCCGGTGAAATTCCGATGCTTCTCAGTTAAGCGGGAGGGGAACCCTTCACTTACATAATGATGATGAAAAAATAAAAAAACAAATTGAGGAGGACAACCGAAGCGATTACGTGACCGCTTGAAGTTCTTATTACGACCAGGCCGCAAAAGGGCAGTACTGACAAACGAAAGATGTATTGAGCGTCGAAAGCGGTAAACCCGAGGTTTTGACTTTGGGTAGGTGAGCTACCAGCACATGTGGGAGACCGAAAGAAATACATAAAGACATAAAAAAACTGGATTGAGAAAAATAACGCAAAAGCAGGAATCAGTAGAAAAACTATACCATACAAATCAAAAAAAGCTGTTTCTTCACCTGAGGTTTAAATCGGAAACGCTCGGCTGGTTTTTCTTCAACTGGTGGTTTTGCTGGAGGTTTTACATTCTCTTGCTTCGCTGTTGGAGATGAGGTTCGCTCTGGTGGCACGACTAACTTCTGAAAAGCAGAAACCTAGGAACAACATTAAATGTCCGTTTCCACTGAAAAAACCAACCTCTCTCCTATGAGGCAGCGGTGGAGGCAGTGGAACAGCGGGTTTCTGGGGAGGTAGCCTAGGTGGCGGTGGTGGTATGGGTACCGGTCTGCTTTGTGGAACCTGTGGAACCACAGGAGGCGGAGGGGGGACAGGAGAACGAGGTTGTTGTGACAATGGTAACGGTATAACATCGTCAATTCCAAGCTCTGGTGATGCCGATCCTTCCGAATCCTCGTCTTCCAGCGAATTGCGATTATAGAGCAATGATGTTGTGATACTGGTGTGAGCGGGTGGGGAACGCATCTCGGCTGGCACTCCTTGCCTTGCTCGACACAATAATTCCTTCTTAGCTGGTAGACGACCCGGCGTCGAAACAGCAGTGGGAACATTCTTCGCCTCCCTTCTCCTCTCAGACACACGTGTTGGAGCTGGTGGGACTGGAGCAGGCGAAGGTGTCTCGGGAGTAGACTTCACAGGAACAGCCTTCGCAGGAGCGGCCTTTACAGGAGCAGCCTTCGCAGGAGCAGTCACAGCTTTTGCAGGAGCAGCTTTCACTGGAGTAGGCACCACGGCAGGAGGTGGAGCAGGAACGGGCTTCTTAGCTGGAGGAGCTTCGGCAGCTGGAGCCTCGGGAGCAGATTCCACAGGAGTGGTAACCGCAGGTTCGGGCACTGCAGAAGAAGCGGCTGCTGAAGCACGTGTCACGGGAGCAGATATTACCGGTGTCACTGGTGTCACGGGCGTCACAGATGTCACGGATGCTGGAGTTCCTGGAGCAGACGTCACGGAAGACGGTGTCGCGGGTGACTTTTTAGATACATCTTTGTTGACTGCTTTCCTGAAATTACAAATGAAATTACTAAAGACCCTGTCTTACTAAAGACTCTGTAAAATGCAAAACCCTTTTAAAATCCAATTATTATTTTTTTCATTTCAGTGATAGTCTAGCCACATTCCTGTGTTTCTCCAAAAAGAACTTCTACAATGAGATTATATTTTGCGAAAGGACTGGCGTCAAAAGAAAGTGGGACGTTGTTCCGCTTTAAGAGAGGGGAGGGGTGGGCGTTGCAGTCAATAATCGTTGAATGACACGTTTCACCCTTGTGAGACCTCTGACTATTGTCAAGTGTTCAAGAAACAGCGGCTACCGCATAAATTTACAAAAGCTGGCAGATCTCCGCATGATGCATCGGCAATAAACCAGCAAAATGCCCCTACCAAGCCGAATTGTGCCGAAAGTAATGAAGAAGAAATATTAGGAGTTTCCGTAGCAATCATCTCATAGCAATCAAGGAATGCCTTACGCTAGTAATCTAGGGATGGGGTGTCAGCATTCAGAGGACACTCAAAGCAAAACTTGGATTACGGCAACATGGACAAAGACTTCTACCCAAGTTCCTGAGCAGGTAAACTTATTCCTAGTACAGTAGTGCCAGCCTTATTCGAATAATCTGAATTTCGCAGTCGTGAGTTATTTAATGCCCCCTTGGCTTATTTGTTTCACAAATGGGGTAGTTCGGCTTGGTGGAGGCACCAGATAGTATTCAACTAAGCTTGCGCAGACTACCCTGTGAAACCTGTGACCAAAGTGGCTTACGAGAACAATATCAGGGCTTCATAGGAACTCTTGACTAATGTCAGAAATGTTAGTTAACATGAACTGACAAGATGAACACGTGGAAGGGCGAAGTGCCCCTTCCAAGCAGAAGAGCGAGCACAAACTTTCACGGAGGAGAAGGTGGTATGGGCTGTGAGTAGTGTAACTGGAAGTGGAGGTGGAGTAGCGAGTAGGAGACTTACTCTTTCGATCTTCAAGTAAAAATGCGCTTACAAACGAGCTGTCTATTAAGGCCTCCCGAGGAGTGTCATCCGGGGAGCTAGAATTTCTAAATGTGAAACAAATACGTGGGGACTTCGAAGCGAGGGTCGTTGTGGTGAATTTTGGTTGGCCAGTTCGAGTAGGTTCCGGTAGGGAAGTAGGGGGAGTAGGGGACTTGAAAGACCTGGGGATGAGTGTGGGCTCGCATTCGAGTGAATAGCAACGGAAGAGGGCGGGTGCATGGCGAGGGGATGTGTATGTTTCAAAGATGAGTGTGGGGGGCAAAGAGAGAGAGTAGTGAGTGATTGGGTTAAAGGGGAGTGTGCGGTTTCTACCGTGGTTAGGTTTTGAGCGTTCGAGGACTATGAAGTATAGGTATGGTATAAGTTTGGGGATCATCTGCAGCGAAAACTCAATCTACGAGGAAAACCATAAAAAGCTGCTGGAGAGGAATCCGAGCAAAGTATGAAAGCGGTAGAGGATAAGGGCTCATCAAAGAAGTGCTTGAACTAATGCAGACCAGGGGAAGAGAGTTAGTACAGGGGGAACTAGCAAACGAGTCTGGACGAGCAGGAAATGCGAGTTCAAAGGTATGGTGTCAAAAAACGTTCCATAAACCAAGAAAAATTACAGGTTGAGAGCAGACTCTTTGCAGACTTACGATGGCTGGAGAGCAGGCGACTTGAAGGTGAAGGCGACTTGTACGGCGACGGGACTGCGAGAGTGTTCATCGAATGGGTGAATATTCACAGTGGGAGGTGGCATGAGCGGGGTTTATCGACTGGATGGCGTCGTGGGGTGAAGGAGGTCTGCCTTGGGTGTGGTGGTGGGCTACTGGTGGCTGTCCGAATCACGTAGCAGCACAGTCGCGCTAGTCACGTACGAATTCTTGGAGTACCTGAGGTTCCCATTTGAGTCGTGAGAGAATCTACAATTGAGTTGACTTTAAAGGCATTACCGAGGAGGATCTGCAGCATTTATACAGCGCAAAGCTCCATCCCCCGCGCTACTGAGGATTAGGCGTGGAAGTGGTGGAGGGGAGCTATGCCATTGAGATATAAGATGAAAAAATAGAAGAGGGGAAGAGAAAGGAAGAAAATAGGAAGAGTCAGGAGGAAAAGAAGAGGAGGTTGCGCTGCATAAGGTTCGTGAGACGGAACGATGAAAGATGCAACAGCGGCGAGCGAACAAATGTTGGTGAAGGTAGGGGGGTTGATAGGAGGTGATCAATGGGCGCTTAGTGTCATTTGGTCGCAGAGCCATTGCAATCGAGGGGGGGGGAGATTCTCGATGAAGACTTTGGAAATTGACTTGGTTTGATGGTTTAAATTAACAAAAGGGGGGAGTAGGGTGGGGTGGGGGACTGTTACTTGCGGCCTTCGGCTTGTGGAGGGCATTTCGCTAGTCACTGGACTATGCGATCATTCTGCTAAACCTGGCATTAGTGTAGGGGTCTGCGATAGCGAAGAGCTCGGTGCAGTGGGCAAAGTCTACAAGTTGCCAAAGGCAGAGAGGGGTGTAGGGGTGAAGAGGAAGGTGAGGGAAGGGAACTAGCAGGCAGGAGGAGAATCTCTGTTTCAAGCTGAACAGTGTCCTTTTAAGTTGGGACCATCGAGAGACTTGTTGGCAGCGACACGGAGCTTCGGTTTCCCTAGGTAGCGTAAAAAACCTAGATTTCAGGCAAAATAATGTGCTTCCAACGACACCGAAAGCGAGGTGTGGCTTCAGTAAGTTTGTTGAGGGGGTCGGAACGGTTCTCGCACGGTGGGAGTGCGTACGAAATGGCTGGCGCTTACAGGTGGTCGAGGGCCTAATGGATGAATGCAAGATGGACCGGGGTGGTTGTTTGGCAGTTGCCTTTATTTCAAAGGTCGTAGAACGTTAAGTTTAGGAGAGTTGGGATTCGTCCGAAGCGCTACTTGCCCCTACTGCAACCACCGCCAAAACTGAAATGGTAAGAAAGCCTGTAAATTGTGAGGCGCCATTTCCTCTTTACTGGCTTATCAGGAGACATCAGACATAGTGGAATACCCTAATCCAAAACATATTCGATTATGGTCCTATATTGGACCAACGCTGCACAAAACATTGGAAAAATTTGTAAGATGGAAACAAGAACCCAGAACTAACCGATATTGCCCTGCTTTACGAGCTCCTTCTCTTCCTCGAGCTTTCGCTTTTCATATTCACCATCAAGAAATAGCAACAAATTCCGTTCTTCAGCTTCAGTACCATGCTAAAATACCCTTTTCACTCAATACAGCTATTAGCACTAAAACTGCGAAGCGTCAAGAAAGAAACAGACCAATGCCTCATCGAATAACACCTTTCGTAACCGCTTTTCTAAATGCTTCCTTTGTTCATATAAGTTAATGTTGGTCCGCATATAATTAGTATCGACTGAAAACGAGCCAATAAAAACAAAATGGAGAAAAAGTACAAAGAATTCCTTACATTGTTCCAAATGCTCATCACTGAGATTCGGTTCACCGTATGCGTGATATGGTAATAACCGTTGCAAAACATCGCGAAGATCAGAAAATGGGGTCTCAGTATCCGGACACGCCAGAGCCGTATGCAAATTTTCAAAATAGTTCCGCAGTCTGGAAAAAAGCTCACGATTTCATTCACAGATATGTACCATTTTCATTTCGGATTCACGGTTTTTTAAGCCAAAGTCACGACTTTTCGGATCAAACTGGAGGCCTAATTAACCATGCACACACGTAGGATACTACCGTGGGTGTACCTTACCGGGAGCTCCTCCCCTTTAACCACGCCAACTTTTGCCTATTTTTTTTCGAAATTCTGACCCTTTTTCGGCGATTGTTCGACTCTTGGGGCTGCTCGGCAGTGGTAGAAGCCAAACCCCACTTAAAAACCCAAAAATAATCTCCGCCCACTCCCGAAAAATGCCTCAAATCAACTGGATTATGACTCAGCTAGAAGGTCAAAAACTAGCTCCTCTCGGAACAAAAAAAAAACTTGCAAGGCTTCCGAGTGACGGGCAAAATCCTCACCTACTAGTTAAACTCTAACCATTTAATGGGCGTGGCTTCTTCAAAACGGTCAGGGATACTAACAGTGGGCTTCCCGTAGCAGCTCAAAAATGTGAAATTCGAAAAGGAGTTACTCTTTCGAGAAAAAAAAACTAAAAGCGTGAAGAGGTGAAGCGAAACTATAGACATTAAAAATTATGAAAACTTGCAAATTGCAAGAAATCCTTCGGAGTGTGGGCGGAGTCGCCCGTGTCGACCTACAGCCCATTTCTTTGTATGCGCAAAATAACAAAAAGTTCAAAAAGGTCACAGAAGTATAAGTTGTGAAAAAAAATTAGAAAAATCACGACCATTCAAAATATAAGCGTGGCTGTAAGCGGGGCTCGCAATGGTAAGCGCGGCATGATTAACAAAGTCTTGGCGCAGTTTGACGACGGGGGGGGGGGCATTTTGCACTTTCGTTGCTTCACTAGTTCCGGTTTACAAGTCTCACTCTGGTGAAACCTCTTGTGAAGCTGGAGCAAGCTCGTCAAGCCATCATGGTAAAACCTGTCAACTCGAGAAAAGGCTGTCTAGATGGGTCGACACGTCGAATCAAAAGTACAAAATGCCCCCCCCCCTCCTCCTCGTCGTCAAACTGCGCCCAAAGTCTTGGTTGTTATTGGAAGAATCGTGGATTTGGTATGAAAGGTGGTCAAATTAATTTGAAAAGCCTTGAATTCGAAATGAAAAAGTATACAAATGAAGCAAGAAATATCGAAAAATACCCACCGACTCAATCGACTTGCTCGCTTTTCTTCTAAACGCTTAGCAGTTTGGGCTGGAGATGCACGATGAGCAAGTACCACCTAAAAACCAGGAGAACATAAAGCAAACAAAAAGAAAACGCGATGATTGCAGGAACAGATGTATCTAATAAATCAAAGACGACCCACCACTTGAGGAGATTGCTGAACAGGAGGTGCGAGAACAATTTGAGCAGGAATTGTTGACTGCTGCACAATTTGAGATCGAATTTGAGCAGCAGCTATGGGTTGACTACCAGTGGCCACCACAACTTGTGGACCTGCTGCTACCTGCTGTACAATCACCTGCTGAGCTCCAGAAACATGCCGCAACTGGAAAAATTCGCTCTAAACACATGAGAAAAGCATTAGTTATGCCTGCATTACAACAAATATAACACAGATAATATTATAATCATACATTTTATTTCAACGATTACCATATGCAACTGCGAATCTGTAGAGAGGTTCAAAAACGAGAATGTCACTGCTTATTAAGCTAATTTTGATAAAATAAAGCTAAAGAAATCGCCGAAAAGATCCTCAATAAGATCGCATTTGTCTTGTGCATTGGACGAGTTTACCCGCGTGTGCACGAGATCTCGGAAACTCGAGGCACTATGCCAACGAATCGAAGGGATGCAGAACTCTGGTCTGTTCTGCTCATATTACTGTTCTTGTTCAGAACACTGCGGTGAGGTGGGGTAGGGAGTGGGGGCTGAAAGTATGAGCACTCACTCAACCAATTTTGCAGCTTTTTTTGTACATTCTAAATTTGCTAATAAGGACCTATTGCAGAACAGTCCATGGAAAATTAGCTAGAAAAAAAGCGCACTTCTGAAAGAGAAACATTTTCGTAGCCACCCTTTAGAACTAAGCTGTCAAAAAAGGTCGACACGCAAGGAAACCCAGGAGAGCACACCAAATTACGCTACGACGCTACAGGCAACAAAGGCACAGCAATTGACCGCTGATCAGCCATCAGAAAACCTGATAACTGAACAAAATCTTAGGTAGATGTCACGGGGCATCGAAAGGTGCAAAAACATGTGAGGAGCCAAGGCATGGGCTTTTTTTCAAGGCTAGGGGACTCCGCGGTGAGTGGACAACTTATGATGCGTGAAAAGCTGCAATGTGTGAGATCACACTGGCCAGAGAACACCAAGCAGACGAGAGCCCAAAGAAAAACAGAAAACTGACGCGGTTGAAGGGAGAGTGCCCAGAAAAACAGAAAATTGGCGCAAAGAATGTGCAGAAACAAAAAACAGAAAACTGACACGAAAGGCTCCTGTCTATTAGACACTCGCCAATGGTTCCTCTAATTTCAGAAAAAGTCTACGCCCTTATGATCTCAATCATAGTTTCCAATTGCCCCACACATGTTCCTTAAAGTTTTCAGTAAATAAATCCAAGTCATCGTCACAAAAATACAGCCCATTAAGTTTGATGGAGTTATGATTGATTGCGGAAAGAACACTGAAGGACATCAGCGAGATAAGAACAAGATAACCGGTGAAAAAAAACTTGAAAATATAAAACGCTCGGATAGCAAGTCAAAACCATAAAAAAACAGAATCTAACTTTGAACTCGAACAAACATAAACGGTTTTGAAATGCTTGGGCAGTTCACTAACGATGAGGGGGTATTTTGCACTTTCGCAGCCTCGCTAGTTCCGGGAGACAGGTACTCTTTACAGGAGTTTACTTGTGATCTTTGGACAGAGCACGTCTCCCCCCCCCCGTCGCAGACCGGCGCAAACTGCAAAATTAACAAATCTTCAAAGTTTTCATACCTGATGCTGCTGCCGCACAACTTCACCGACTGTTGGTTGTGATGACGTAAATTGAGCCTGTGCTGCTTGTGGTACGTTCTGCACGTATACAGTCCCCGGTGGCAGCTGAGCTGGGGCATGATACACAGTGGTAGCAGCATTTTGAGTCTAAATGAAGAGAATATTGTTCACCAAGGACGACTCAGGAGACCGCAGAGATGGGACCGACTTACCCTGTACGTCCGCTGTTGATTGCGTGCACAAACCTGCTCCTGTTGATGGACTATCTGGGTCTGATTAGCGTTTCCAGTGCTGTACTCTTGGAATCTAAACAGAAAATGAGAATATAGAATAGAAGCATTTCAGTCCACGCTTATAATCTTAAATTCAGCTCAACTAGAGAGCAGAGGCATGCTAAGATAGTGCACACAATCGTGTAGGGAAAATTTTGGGCAAATGTAGTTGGTGGGTGCTTCTCAACGGACGGCTATTTCGTTTCTGCTCGTCTGCGTCCTCCCAGCGAACAGGTGTACACAGCCGTTCGGGGATTTTAATAACACATGTCAAGGCAAGGCAAGGAATGATAAGGTCGACTAATCGCTTGGCACCCTCTCCTCCCCCTCCCCCCCCCTCTAACTTCCTTGGCCGAACATTGTACTCAACGTGATCTCCAAAAAAAATCCGTAGAGCAGGGGGACAAAATCCAGGAAACCAATCAACCATGAGGGATATTGAAATTGGCGTGTCGCTGATTTAAAGGGAGGCAGGGGTGGGAGGATTGCAGAATTGTGCGCCTGAAACGACAGAAATCAATAACTACTAAATTTTTCTAGGCTGAACACAGCCGCCTCTTTTGTGTTGAGGATAGGCTGCTGTTCATACTTCAAGATATGAGCGATTTGGAAATCGCACGATTGCGACAGATCGCACTCAGCCGCTGCAACGGCGGGAATTCTCAGCCGAATGCCACTGGACTTGCGGACGCGGTCAACCGTGGAAGTCTCAATGCAAAGAAAAGTAACTTACTGGGCAGTGCTCGTGCTCGGAAACTGGTTATGACTGGCCAAATACATCTGAGGTTGATACTGCGGTGACTCGTGACCGGTCTCGAAATGTGCTGCTTGGCGGCTGGCATGACTTGCTCGAGAGCGGGGTGCTGATCGAGGCTGAGGAGTAGGAGCAGCAGCAGCAGCAACCTGCTTCACTTGACTCAACACCGTCTCGCCAACGCTGAAATATGTTGTGAATGAAAGCAGTACTCAGAATCAACGAAACTATCACGACTAGGATGCTAGACACCCCTTCCCGCTTCACAGTACATGTCGGTGGAGGGGTGGGGGGAAGGAACTTTTGTAGAAAAAAAATTCGAAAAAGTAGTAAGAAGGTTGCAGAGTTCACGGAGATTGTAGGGGAAACGAATTCTGCTAAAATTTCTCACGAAGGCAATATGTGCCCTGATCTTTCTCGAAGGCATGTGGCACGATGGATCCACAAGGCGTGCAGGATTAATACGTCTAACAGGACAGGATTCAGTGCCCCTGAGCAGGCGCTGCAAAGCGCACTTCCAAAGAAGGTACCCTGTGCCTTATCAAGGTTCAGCATGTCGACCCGGACGCCCACCGTAACCGCCCCTACCACGCTCCCCACAATTGGCCGTACATTCACTTCTACACTGGTACTTTTATCCTGTTTATGAAGTACAGTTGATATAAGCGTCGCTACATGGCTATATGAATGCATACAAACAGCCGTATCTATCAAAGCGGTTGTTGGCACGATGCCAACGGGAAACTCGTCCAAAAATGCTCGTCCAATGCCGTGCAGAACAAAGGCTTTTTCGCAGGTTTTTGGCCATTTAACTTCGCTTTTCGTCTTTTCCCCACTATATAGCACCTTTGCGACTATTTTTGATCAAGTGCCAAATTATCGTGCCTTATATCTTTAATACCGTTAGGTTTAGGAACCATGTTCCTTCAATCATTCCAAACGCACCGAAATTCAGTTCGATTCCATTCCATTTAAAATCAAGGTTCAGCATTGGGCTACAAGTAGTATTTCCGCGAGCATTAAAGTTTACAATAAAATTTTTTGCTCTTTCTCTCCCGTCATAACTGGCAACCACAATCATTTCGTACAAAGAACACACATCAATGGTGCAGACTCGCGCTCAGGTATGAAACTGGAAATCCTTCTGCAAGTGATCTCACCAGCAAAAATTCTCGCTCGGTCACGAGCGCCTAGCAATTAGTTAGAAAAAAAATTGCCTGGATTGTCGCAAAACCTGTTGAACCCCTTTAATTAATCACTTCTGTTACACTTACAAGGTCTCACAAAGAAACAACAATTTCCAATCAATGGCACCCACTTAAAGGAGACGTCTCATTGTGAAATCTACCGCTTCGACCGTAAGAACAATTATCACCAAGGATAGCCGGCCGCATTTTGCACTTTTTCGTAGCATTTCCTATCCAATCAAGGCCATCGACAGCTTCGCGCGCGCCTACCACTGTGATCAATTACCAGGTGACGCAGCAGCGTCGACCCGCGCTGAAGAAATGACGAAAGGGCAACCTTCCGTGTGCGATTTTGTGGTTTGGCGACGTCAGTACTTCAAGGAAAAACGCGGAAAACATAACATATGCGCTCAACAATGTTTATCAATGTTATTCGTCCAGAGAAATGGACAAAAAAAGAGGAAAACAAGTGAAAACCCACTTTTGCGAGCTCAAAGCCTCGTAGAGAATACTCGCCCGTTGAGCTTGTAATTCACTGAGCCTCTGTGAATTGTTTATTCCGAGCTTTTCCTGTTGTTCTTGTAATTGAGCCATTTCTGCACCGATCTCCGTGATCTAAACATCACACGTCAGATAAGAATGAATAAAGCGTCAGATGTACTTCTTTATGCCGAAAAGTGCTAACCCGTGTCAGTGCGGACATACTGAAGCGAACTTCCGTTTGGTTCGTACTATTCGCTGAGTGATCGACTTTCGTCGACTTATTCGCTCCAGAATGAGAATTCACTGAAAAATTCAGAATGACGACTTAAACACTAGTCAAAAATGCATCTCAATTTCTGTATAAAGTAGGATAAAAGTACTTCAGAAGACAGCAAGCAACTAAACTCTCTATACACCTCTAAACAGTACTAGTTGCAGATTTTCTGTTGATCTACCTTCTGATAACCAAAAAACTCTGATTAGTAATTTTCGACAATTCCTAGGTAGGAAATAGAGCATAGAATTACGAAATCTCTAAATTTGCCTGATGAATTCGATTTTTACTTGGAACTTTCTATATTTCCACTTGGCGTCTTTCCATCGACTGAACTTTGCATTGGAACACGATTAAAAGGCACTTCTATGGGCGCTAATCCAATATAGGTCCGCAGTCTGATCAGTGCACGTAGCACGTTGGGGATGCTTCGCGGAGTGGGGTCGTAGTTGGTCACTGAGAGGGAGGACGAGGGGATCGTATTCGCCTCCGAAAAAATATTTTGGTTGTTGACTTTTCCATAGTTTTTCCTGTTTCAATGGTGCTACACCCTTCCCCTTCCCCCACCGCAACTTCGTCCTCGCTCGAAAGGATGATAGTTCTTTTTGGGAGGGGCGAAAGTGGACAAAGAGAACTCCGGAAAAAGGTTAAGTAGGGAAATTTAGCAAGGAGTAGCATGGTGTGGTGGTGTCACAACATGTTCCAACTCGCAACAGTTACGAGTTGAACTGCGGACCTTGGTTACACTAGTGCTCTCCAAACTAGAGCACCTAGCTTTAACACGTACCGGACCGCGTGACACACATGATGTGTCATACATTTGTCCCTATGCCTTGCTTTATTTGGCTATTTCATACTGTCATTGAAAACACGTTGTCGGTTACGAAAGATACATACCTCATAAGAGATTAGGAAGAGGGAGGAAATCACTCATGAACTATCGATCAAAATTTATGAAATGTTTCGGAGATGCGCGCAGCAAGGCTGTCCGCATTGTGTTAACCAGAAAATACACAATTTCAAACCAAGTGTAAAACAAGCTACGTACCAGATCCCCTTTTTCGTCCATTATTTTGCGTTTTCGGCTGGATAGGACGTTGGCGTTGATTATGCTGAGGCGTTGGTGTCTGCCTTGTAGATGGTGTGCTAAGTATTTGTTGAACCAGTGAGCCCGACGTATTACTGCTGCCGCCTCCAGATACAGATGGAGCCTGCTGCTGATGCGATGTGGACATCACTTGTTGAGGTGGTGCATCAGAAACAGCCTAAAAGCGCTTCAACAACGTACAGATCTCAGAGCAAGAAAGAAGATTATTCCAGGGCTACTGCCCCAACGCTTTCGGTGAGACAGGAAAAGGAAAGCTAAGATGCTGCTCTGCTTCAAATGCAGAACATTGCCCACCATAATATTTCGAACTCTAAAATTTCGTGAAAAAAGATAGCAACGTCAAGTTTAAGAAGTGAAAGGGATTAGCTGAAGGCACTGCCCGTGACTGCCTCGTGGGCGGAGCTGGGAAACGATGTCTTTGACGTATCTGTCCTTTCCTCACCAACCATGTGTGATTGCCTTGTGGGCGGGGCAAGGAAAAGGGCGTCACTGGCGTGACTCGTTGTTTTGCGTATGCTAACGAGTCGGGTGGTAGGTATTTCGTAAGGTCAGGCGCCTCCGTGAGGCGCATGGAATATGGGCGTGTCGGGTCACGACCATTCCGGCTTATTTCTGCTTACTGAGTGGCTGCGTATTTCACAATAGCACTCACTATTCTGGACTGCTTGTATTTTATATGTTATTTATCTCCGAGGGGTTAGCAGAAGCAAAATGGAGTTCTTGACGGAGTTTCAGAGCAAAACTCGCTCTTTCCACCTTCTACGACTGTTAGAAAAGCGAAAACAGGGAGTTCTAGCTAAGCATGTCGCGCATCAGTAAAGCGTTTCAAACGGAAGACCAAAACATAAAAAGGAACACTAGAAGTTATGACAAGGTACCATCGAAATAAATATAAACAATATATTAACGAAGAAAATAAAGTCCACAAAAACTGCCAATGATAAATAACAAAAATAATCGGAATAAAAAATACCTGCTGAAAATATCCTTGTTGAGGTTGTTGTTGGACAACCTGCTGTTCCATGGTTTGATAGTGACCATTGACAACTACTGAGGGCTGTTCAAACGAATTATATGACTCCTCCTAAAGTACAAACATACGGTGCTTGATACAGAAAACGGCGAATTTGCTGTCCTCCAGGAGCCATAGAACAGATTCCAGCAAAAACTCGAACCGCTAGTTATTCACGGGCGGGGAGCCTCTACGTCTTCCCTGATCAAGACTTCGGGTTAAGGGCAGACGACCAGAGTCATCAAGGAAGAGACTCTCGTAGAGAATGGTCACGTTAAGCCTAAGCCTTTGTCAGGGAAAGGATGAACACCCACGCTCACCCCCTAATTAAGACAGTTTGCAACCTGTACCTGCATCACAGAACTCGACATTTCGTATGACATGTTTTGTAGGGGAGCCATGGATTGATATGACGATGAAACAGGTGACAACCGTGGTGGGTCATTTCCACTTTGGAACTGAAAGTGAATGAAAAAATGTAAAAAAAAACTTAAAAAATGAAGACAAAAATCAAAGAACTAATAATAAAAGCCTACCCCGAATTCCCGCATTGGGACCGCGAGGGAATTATCACCAAACGAAAAGTCCATAAGATTTTGTGGAGAGACCGCGATAGGTGAGGGTTCTCGCAGAGGCACCTTCGAAATGAGGAACTTATGAACAGCAAAACCGAATGTGATAGGACACAATACAAACTGCAGTGCTGAGCAATTTGTGGATACTGTGAAAATGCGTTCATACCTTGCAACAGCGTTTTGAGGGCTAATCGATACCTATACTTCGTCACTTAAAACGGTGGTGTACGCTTGAAACGCCGATGCAAACCATGACCGCACTCTAATAGGGACCGCACGAACAACAAAAAAGGGGCAAGTCTGGTGAGGAGACATTCAAAACAAATCAAAAATTCTCATCCCCTTTACGGCAATGCCGTCTAGCACACGAAGTCATTTAAAAGACCCCCTCACTTATTTCCCCTAAACTATGTTCGAAAAATCGAAAAACACACAATTATATGTTCACAGGATGAACCGTACCTGAAGTGAAGTGTCGGCACCGAGGGGACTGGTGCATTTGAATGCATCGTCCAACACGAACCCCGAGCCCAGGCCAAGCCATTCATCCTCCCTATCAATAATGCATTTTAAGGTACAGATTAAAAAATGCGCAACTCTCCAAACGAATAATAAATACTTTTGAAGTTCAATAAAGTTTGGTCGCCATCATTATTACAGCACAGCTCACCTACACAAAGATTTAGAAGTTACTATTTTTAGCACACGTCAAGCTCGTTGTTGCTATTTTTGACCTTCATTTTTCACAAAATGGTTTCTCATGCCAAACATAATAGAATAATATAGAGGGTCATTTTTGACCAGGTCAAAAGAATCGTACGAAGGGAAGCGTCCGTTGCCACAAAAAACTCATGAAAACGGAAATATCGGACCCTGACACAATCCTCGATATGACTGTCGCGTTTGACCTGTTGACTTGCGAATATAGCAAGCTTCCAACAAAAGGGATAATAAAACACAAAACAATGTCTATATTGTATTGGTACAGTAGCGGTAGCTCATTATCAAACAAACCAATGCAAAGAAACAAAAGAATCATGTAAAAAGGCTATAAATCCTGAAGCGAAACTCACTCTTGGAAGCTCATTGTTGTTCTGATGAAAGGGCTATGTCATCGTTAACTATAATAAACCGATAATGGTGTGAATTAGAGGAGAGCAGTGCGTGTGATCTCGATGTGTTAAGCGATCCTGGAACCTTTGATATGATATCGATAACGGTCTTATCCCTCGGTTTCTGCCAAGAATTTCACGATTAATTGCCTCAATAATTAGTGGTGCTACGGGGCCGAAACGCATGCAAATAAACGAATTGATTTCTCCGAGTTAACTATTAGCACGCACCATCCGCTCGACAACCGCTGCGCAACGGCCCCGCGTCGCGGTCCGATGCTTGGCACCAGGCCAGAGCCGCCGCTTGCGAATCTAAGCGTACGGTAGGTGATTTTGTATTGAAGGATTGCCTCAGGTGATCAGGGAGGGCGGGTTGCAAGTGTAGCTTTTATTTTTTGAACTTCCTTTCGATTTATTCAGTGTAGCAGTCGGGCGCTAGTGTATTGGTGCGGGGAAGAAGACTGTGCGGCACGCTGCTCTTCTGCACCCTCCTCGCCGAACAGTATTGGAAACAACCCACGAGTGATTCCCAGAATATTTCAAGCGAGAATTGAAATTTCAAATGAGAAAGTGGACCACTGGAAAGTCTGCAGAAGTGCATGGCTTTTGCTACTAAACGCCTGTCCTGTCTAATTTGACAGGGCGCTATCAGAGTAAAGGGGGAGGGATTTCGATGCATTATGCATTTGGAAGCATCGCTTGGCACAAAGACATGAGTTACCCCCCCCCACTCAAGTTCTATCTGGTTTACCATTGCTTCCGCCCTTTTAAGGGTTAAAGTGTTTCACTTCATTAGAAAGCCATCCTCTAACGGTATAATTTCGTCTTCTACACGTGAAATCAGTCACCTCGAAAAAAAACCCCTCACTTAAACCAAACAAACGCTTGGGATAGTGGCTCGACAAGGGAAGGAGCAGAAGTACCTTGGCACCGAAAGCCGTTCTCCGCGATAAAACAGGTCTACTCTGGAAAAAAATGTGTAGGGGTCACCCATTCCGAGGGTGATGACATGAGCGTTCGCGCACGCCACGCCCTTTTAGTTGACTTTTTTATTGGGTTATCCTGCCCCCCCCCCTCCGCCCCAATTACACTTCACTTACGATGCCTTGCATTGCACTTGCGTGCCTCGTGACCTTTTGTTGGATTCCTTTATTTCCCTTTCACTCACCCAGTTTGACTTATTTGCTAACTATCACAACTTTTTGCCGTTTTCAACAGAGTTTGGGTAGGTAGAAGGCTATACTATCGTATTTGGGCGGGAGGGAAGGGGAGCGGAAGCGTGGGTATGTGGCAAGACAGTCGTATTATGACGCGTTGGTGGGCGTGACAACATTACGCGCCCCATGGATGAGTTGTCCCGCTATCGCTCGCCACGGAGTTTATTCCCTGCTCGAGTTCATACGAGATTCAGCTCCGGTCGACTAAGTGGTACATACCGAGATTTCGTCGCGCAACTCCGCGCGACACGCCGTTGGAGGCGCGACACGTTGCGAGTGTCTTGCCTGCCCCTCTATGGGAATCACGCTTTGGTGCCCCTATGTGCCTTCCCTCCTCAAAGCTCAGCCTTAGTAGAGCTCAGGCGACCAGAGTCGGCGTGGATTACTCTCGCAGAGGAGATATGGCCGCCTTCCCCGCCCAGGCCTCCTTGTGCTACGTTAGGCGCACAGTGCCATAATTTCAATCGCTTGCCCATTGACATGCATTATTTTTAAAATTTTCGCTCATTTGTACAAGATACATGTTCGTAATGGCTATTGATCAGTTTTATGCGACTG